CTCTTTCCACTATACTATTCTGCTTCTGAGAGTAGGCAATTAACACCACTCCTCTGATTCTTAAAAGCTTTCCTCGGGTCTGTCCAGTTTCCCTTCTTGCTCTACTCTGGACAATATTATCTACTCTTAAGGCTTTAATAACTGGGTATCAGTAACTCCCAAATTTTATTTCTAGTCCAGGTTTTCCTACCCAGTTTTCCACCTGTATATCCAACGTTCTAGTTGACATGTTTGGCATCCCAAAACTGAACTGCAAGCTTTCCCATCTCATTATCTGCTCTATTACCCACCCCCTCCATCCTATTCATACCACTGTTCTAAACTTACATTACTTAATCTAACCCTTAAAGCATCCCTGTGGTATAGATTCTGTCATTCCCCCAATCTTACAAATAAGAGGTTAAATAACTTTTCCTCGGTCAGTTAATACGTGGCAGTTAGGCGTTTGTAACACGTAGGTGACATGCCTGCTATGTTCCAGACACTGTGGACGACTCCCCGCACTCATCCATTGCCAACTCCCAGCACAGGTTGTCATTCCCCACCTGATGACTACAATAGCGCAACTGGTCTCACACCCACACATACTTGCTTCTGTCTGTTCTCCAAACAGCAACTGGAGTGATTTTTTTTGGCTGCTGCCGTGTGGCATGCAAAATCTTAATTCCCTGACCAGGGACTGAACCCACGCCCCCTGCAGTGGAAGTGCAGAGTCTTAACCACTGGACCACCAGGGAAGTCCCTGATCTTTTAAAGATAAAGCTATGATCCTTTCTCTCTCTCTCTCAAAACCTTCCAATGACTTTCGATTATCTTTGTCTCACGTGGCTCTTACACTTTTCTCTCTCCCCTCAGACCTTTGTAAATGCTGCTCCTTTTACCTCAAATAACTGCCCTATTTAACTCCTTTCTCCTTCCCAAGTTAACTAAAACATCACTTCTGTGGAAAAGGGTCTCTTCTTGTTCCGTGTCTTCTTGTTCCCTTGTCCCCACTAGACTGTGAGCATCATGAAAGGAAGTTCCAGGTCTGTTTTTGTTCTTTGCTCTCTTCCCAGTTCCTGCAACTGTGTGTGGCATACAGCAGGGGCTCTGCAAATCTATGAAAGAATAAGGAATGTAGGTCAAAGCAAGGAGATATCACCTCTCACTAACTGGTGCTTAGGCGAAGGCTTAAGACTTAGGATAATGACTGGGTATTTAAGTGAAATGGATTTTGTCCTAATAGGAGGATGAGAGAATAAGAGACACTAACAATAAATTCGTTGGTGTTTTACTGGTAGTTAATGCTGAGGCGTATCTCCACACTACTGTTCACTTCCAGATCCTGGCAGTCCTATTTTCTGCTAAGCCTTCCCTGCCTTTTCAGTTTTTATACACTCAAAATATACACAGAGACAAGGGAAAGCTTTTAAGTACGTGCAATCTTATAATGCAGATTATTAACAGATATGGAGAACAATGAAAAGAGGTACTTAACCCCTTCTTGCCATGAATCCAGGATTTAGGATGTCGACTCAATATTAAAAGCTAAAGCACACTACAGACATCAGGATATAGAGAATGAGTGGTACTTCCTTCAATTTGGACATGTTGTAATGTGGTTTATGTATCCACACGATGCTAACAGTGCTCACAACTCCTCTGCCTAAAATCACCTTCAAAGCCACACTAGAAATCAGTCTCATTCCCTTTACAACCAGAACGATCCCTAAAATGTTTATTGGATTTTGGCCCTGAATGACTTCGCGTTGCTTCAAAACCTGAAAAACATCTTCACAAGAGGAATGTTTCTGATCACAAAGGACGTTTAAAAGAATATGGGACCCTAGTTCTGAAGGTCATTCCAAAGCAGCAGTCTCAAGCATTTTGCACACTCTTGGAAAAAGTTTCTATATGACCTTCTTTCAGATGCATAAATTCCATCATTTTAAGAAAAATATCGAAGTGCTTTATAGTCAGCCAGTTATCTTCAAAGGCAACAGGGCAGATGTCACCGCTCAGCCCGTTGTGCAGTTGCCGTGCACTAGGGCACTCTTCCTGTTTCTCTCCTCTGGAGCATCCTGTGGCAGAAAAGCTGCATAAGGTCACTGACAAGATTTAGAGCAATCTCTCGGTTGCTTCCGTAGCTGAAGCTTGAGCAGTTTTCGAGCTGGTGAAGGATCTAATTGTTGCGTGCTTCTCTTCCCTGCAGAGAAAAGGAGCCACAAAATAAATTTCAATTGAATTCAAATACCATTTATTGAAAACTTACTGTGTGGACACTGTGCCAGACACACAGAAGGGCATTCCAACAACAAATTAGAGCATGTGCCCTCTACGAGATGGCAGTCTAGTAGGAAAGCCAGCTGCAACTACAACCACAATACCATCCAATGAATAATGAAATGAAGGTATTTATAGCACATAATTTAGGGCTGGAGGTGGTCAGGCAAAGTGATGGATAAGTAATGTCAGTGTCACTTAGTGGATTCTTGAAGAATGAAAAGGGAAAAAAGGAATGGGTATTTCTTAAGTCTTGGATTTACCCAAACAACACAGTTTGTGGAGATTTAATTCTCAGTCTACTGTGCTGCTGTGGAATTTACATCTACAAATTTCCCATCAACCTTGAGTACCCACAACGTAATAGTTATTGTGAGGGGAAAAGAAACCCCACTAGATATAGGCCTTACCCTCTGAGACCATATGTTTTGAAGGGCAGTGTGTATCCGAAGGGCTATGAGACATAAAACAGTACAAGCTCTGGTCCCCTTAAGACAGGCTTACCGAGCTGTACTGACACCTTCTGGAGGCACTGGGTACTTTCCTCCATAAAGGCGTGCAGCTGCTTCATGGATCCTTGCAGTTCGTCCATCTGCAGACAAAAGACAGCTGTCAATTGTAAGGGTCCAGGTGTCTCTGAGGCTCCTCAAACATGTGAGGCGAGCTCCTGCTCAGGAGCTTTGCTTTTGCTGTTCTTTCAACCTGGAATGCTTATGCCAGACTTCCCCACTCCACGCTTCTCCACACTGCTCCATGCCCCAGCAGGCTGACCTGCATAACCTCCAACAAGATCCCATGTCCTCTGGTTTCTGGGTGGGCTTGGCCAAGAGGGAGCCAAGTGCGAGGGAGCTGAATGAGGTCAGGGTATTTTACCCAGGCCTGCTTCCAGAAGGGTCATCTCGAGTTAGCTGTGTCTCTCAACTGAACGTCATGGCTCTCTCAAAGCATCCCACTCACTATATGACTCCCTGCCAGGTGCCACAGTAACTGTTCCTCCCTCCAGCCGACAGGTAATAGCTCAGCTGCCTCTAAGCCCCAGATTACTTTTGGTTTCCTGAAACCCACACTTTTGTACTTAGCCCCTCTGTAAACAGACTCTCCTTGAATTATCCTATATCAAATGCCATGTGCTTCCTGTTAATACTTGGGTTGATACACTACTATTCTCCAAAATGTCCTCATGGATCATTCCTCATTTCTTTCAAGTCTTATTAAAGTAGAACCTTAGCAGGACCTTCAACCCCTCTATATAGCAACCTACAGCCCTCCTTCCACCTGATTTATTAACACTTATCACCATTTATTCGTTTCTTTTCTTCCATTGTCTCTCCATGTTTCCCCAAGGTAGAGTTGAATATACTCTTATCTCATCTAATTACTCATATTCTCCACATCTTTTAATTTCCAAGGATGACAAGGTAGCAAAGCTGGATAACTCAACAAAAGAAACATGACCCAACTTACCACCAACTCCATACAATCAAAGACTTTATTCTGGTTCTGTAATATGTTCTGGTAGTCAGGCTTTGTATTAAGGACTTCACTCTGGGAAGACCCAAGATATGCTGTAGGCTCCACTTCAACTTCAGTAGTTTTGGTTTCAGTTGATCCTCTAAACACAAAACAAAAGAGCTTTCAAATAATTTTACAATCATTTCCTGGGGAAAACAGTAAAGATTACCTAGGGAAAAATCCTCCTAGAAGGCTTTATTAACCTGAATCAATACTCTTCCACCCTGTACTGAAAGTACAGGCTCTCTAACTAACAGGAGATTCTGAGATCATTATCCAATATTAATATTTTTATACCCCTGGACTCCAGGAAATGCTAGAAGGTTAGCTGACTCCACCTAACAAGTAAGGTCCATTTACAAAAAGGACTACACTTGGGGTAAAGCCAAAGCCTGCTATCCTGAAGTCAACGTCTATAATCTTTTGCCAAAGAGATGCTGGCCCACTTCAATTATCTAAAGTAACTGAATATAGGGAATTCCCTCGAGGTCCAGTGGTTAGGACTCCGGGCTTTCATGGCCGAGGGTGTGGGTTTGATCCCTGGCCGGTGAACTAAGATCTTGCAAGCTGCACGGTGTGTGGCCAAAAAACCCCAACAACCACAAACTGAATATAATGGACAGTTCATGAAAACTGATGATGACTCTTTAGTAACAGCTACTACAATTTACTGAGCGCTTACTGGGTGCCAGACACAGCTAAGCACTTTCCATTTAACCTTATTTAACCATCATAATAACCCAACGAGGTATGAACTAATATTATCCCCATTTTCAAATGAGGCACTTCAGATTGCCCAAGGTCACAGAAGTAAGGAGTAGTTAGGATTTCAACAGAGACAGCCTGCTTCCAGAAGTATTCCTCTTAACTATTAAGCTATGCCCCATCAAAAGTTTTTATTCTGAAACTGCCATCTTATACATTATCTATCTTCATAAATAGAACAGTTAAAGGGTGAAGAAAGTAACTAATAAACATCAATGCTTAGAATGGAGGAGTTTTTCAAACTGTGTTCCTCAAAGCACCTCTCTACTAAGAGGCCACTTTTGCAATTACTATTTTGGCTAATGTTTTATAGTTACATTTCTAGCTAAGATTCTGTTTGGGGAAAAAAAGCTTAAAATCACTGGTTTGGATGGTAAAATGAAATCAAAATCTAGCACTTACCCATTTTCTTATGTCTTCAAGACCCAGACAAAGATCCTCTCTCTCCTACACTTCATCTTCCATTACCCATTTCATGTCTGTATCTCCATGAAGGCCCTGGCCAGGGTCCTCTCCCATACCTGCAGCTCAAAGGCCATGTTCTTAGCCCAGCCCCAGGTTGCCAGGTACAGGCCAGAAATGTGCCTGTCTCCCCCAGGATGTGGAATGGCAGCCAAGGACACAGAACAGAGGCAATTCTGTTCTTTGACTGAAAATAGTGACAATCCTTCCTTCCCTTCCCCCTCACTCTCCATTTACAAAGTGCTAATATACACATTACAGAGATCTGATGAGTTGATTGGCCTCTAAGAATGGATTCATCGTTCAATTTGTGCTAAGAGAACTGAAATCAATTCAAATCAAATTCCACAAGGTAAAAGCTTCCTATTTCCTGTCACAGATCTAACCTGGATATGATCTCTTCAGCCTCCTCCTGGTAGCGCAGCAAGAGCCGATCCCAACTCTGACGTTCTAAAGAAAACCTATAGGAACAGAAAATAATTCAGTTAATTTTTGATCATCTCACTCTGAATCACTCAGGGCAACAATAAGTGTATTAGGTGTCTACTCTGGTTCTAAGATATGAATAAAAAGGTCATAAAAGGATGAGAAAGCATGACCAATTAAAAGGCTATTAATTTAATCAAATCAAACGAGTTCTTAATATCAAATCCACATCTTTAGTCTCTAGACTCCATTCTATGAAACTGGCCATTAGTACAGCCCATAAAACCCCAGTGTGCAGCTGTCTAACTTCCAGTGGGGATACACTAGTATTGACACACTGAACAGGATGTTTACTATTCCTTTTTCCCAGGTTTAGTTATTTTCCCCAGATGAATGTAGACTTTCCAACAAAGGTTCACTCATTTTCACTTACTTTGTTATATATTCCTTCATCTCAGCCACTGATGTTTCCAGAGACAAATCTGGTGCTTTTCTAGAATACAGACAGGATGATGAGATTAACACAAATCTTCCAAGCACACTTGCTATGGACAACTTACATAATTTTAACGGCAATAAAACATGTTCAGAATTTATCTTTCTTTTTTTAAAAAAAAAACTTTTCTGAAGATTTAAATTTATTTATTTATTTAAAAAGTTTTCTTTAATTTATATTTTTTTGGCTGCATTGGGTCTTCCTTGCTGCATGCAGGCTTTCTCTAGTAGCGTTTTGCAAGGGCTTTGTTGTGGTGTGCGGGCTTCTCATTGCGGTGGCTTCTTTTGCTGCACAGCACAGGCTCTAGGTGTGTGGGCTCAGTAGTTGTGGCACACGGGCTCTAGAGCACAGGCTCAGTAGTTGTGGTGCACGGGCTTAGTTGCTCCGCGGCATGTGAGATCTTCCTGGACCAGGGCTCAAACCCGTGTCCCCTGCATTGGCAGGCGGATTCTTAACCACTGCGTCACTAGGGGAGTCCCAGAATTTATCTTTCAACAAATATTTATTCTTGGGCTCTATTTCACTTTTGCACCAGGTAACAGCTTTCTCAGTGGTCTCTTCATCATCTATTTCTCTCACCAATTCTAATTCACACACAGCCAGATTAACCTTTCTTAAAATATTTCCTTTAATTTTTTCCCTTGCTTAAAAATTCTGTGACCCTTCACTACATTCAGAAGAAAAGCCAAAACTCCTTAACCTGTCACTTAAGGTTCACTTAAGGTTCTGGCTCTGTCCAGCTCATTAACTTTGATTCCTATTACCCTTTATCTATTCTGTCTCATATAATGCCATTCAGCATCAAACATCTGAGGGCTTCAATCTCCAAAGTTCTGTTCACACCGTTTTTTAGCCTATTCCCTTCCCACTAATCAAAACCTTAATATCTTTTAAGAACCAACAGTACTTTTCCATATAACCATCTTGTCTTCCCACTTAAACTGAAGCTACTGGTTGGATATGTTTTACTTAAACCCATGCCTTGGCTCTGTGGGGCGATTAATCCTAAAGGAAAAGCAGGAGGCACTGAAAATGCCAAAATTATATGCAGATGTACTTGGTACTCTACCTGGCAAAAGCAAATTAGTTGTGTCACCGTTCGTGTTTTCCTACCAAGGCCTGTGAAAAACAGCCCCTATCACCTCTGGCTGAGATGCAGCAGCCTGTGGCTTAAATATACTGCATTAAGTTATGGGAAGATAAACCTTATTGCTGTTTCATTACCATGCAGAGGCCAAATACGAGCAAAAGAATAGCATCCTATATTAATCTTCCAAAGATTGATTATGGGTAACCCAAGTGATTGTATTATAGTTTAATTAATGGAATAAGAAGGGAATAAATAGCTTCAGTGCTGCCTGATAAATGTAATTCTCTCATGGTAAGATATGTACAGTGAAAAACAATGAGTGCTGATGGAAAAAAATATATATATATACTGTATTAAAAGAGAAGCTATGTTGAACTAAAATATTTTTCATTTCCTGAATAGTAATGTTAATTCTAAGGATCCACAGAAAGGTAGACCTTTGTGAAGTCAAAAGTGTAAGCCCAAGTTACATGATTTGTTACAGGCAGTGGGTAGAGGGTTGGGTGCTGCCCCTGAAGAGGAACGACCAGTTTGGGGTGCGACTGCAAAATTTCTCCTAATGTTCTTGCTTGTCAACAGCTAAAGAACATAAATTTATCTCCAACTTGCATGGCTAGTGAAGATCTGAAGAGCACTTTTCCTCTCATCTTTCCATGGCTGGTTCCTTCTCACCATCCAGGTCTTATAGGTCTCAGTGCAGAGGTCAAATCACTCGAGGACCTCTCTGAACACTCTAGCTAAAGTTGCCCACCCCTCAAGTCACTCTCATATTTACTGACTTCTTAGATTATCACTATCTGAAATCATTATTTTCTATGTATTTGTTTGACTGTTTCTCCTATTACAATGTACATGAAGAGAGATCTTGTTTGATTATTTACCACTATTTATCTCCAGCTTCTAGAAGAGCCTGGTACATAGGAGATGCTGGATAAACGTTTGTTGAGTGCATGAACAACTGTCTAATTAAAATAAAAAGTTTTATTTCTCCAAAGAAGACATACAGATGGCCGACAGGCACATGAAAAGATGCTCAACATCGCTAATTATTAGAGAAATGCAAATCAAAACTACAATGAGGTATCACCTCATACCCATCAGGATGGCCATCATTAAAGTCTACAGGGAGCTCCCTGGTCTCCTAGTGGTTAGGATTCCAGGTTTTCACTGCCATGGCCTGGGTTCAATCCCTGGTTGGGGAACTGAGATCTCACAAGCTGCGTGGTGAGAAAAAGAAGTCTACAAATAATAAATGCTGTGGAAAAAGGGGAACCCTCCTAACACTGTTGGTGGGAATGTAAGTTGGTGCAGCTACTATGCAGAACAGTATGGAGGTTCCTTAGAAAAGTAAAAATAGAATTACCATATCATCCAGCAACCCCACTCCTGGGCATATGTCCAGAAAATATGAAAACCCTAATTCAAAAAGATACATGCATCCCAATGTTCATAGCAGCACTATACAATAGCCAAGACATGGAACCAAACTAAGTGTCCATCGACAGATGAATAAAGATGTGGCGTATGTGTATACACACACACACACACACAAATGGAGTATTACTCAGACACAAAAAATAATGAAATAATGCTATTTGCAGCAACATGGATGGACCCAGAGATTATCATACTAAGTAAGTCAAAGAAAGACAAATTCCATATGATACCACTTATATATGGAATCTAAAATACAACACAAATGACTTATTTACAAAACAGAAACAGACTCACAGACATAGAAAACAAACTTATGGGGGATTCCCCTGGTGGTCCACTGGTAAAGAATCCACCTTACAATGCAGGGGATGCGGGTTTGATCCCTGTCAGGGAACTAAGATTCCACATGCTGCAGGGCAACTAAGCCCACGCACCACAACTACTGAGCCTGCATGCCCCGGAGCCTGTGCACCACAACTAGAGAAGAGAAAATCTGCACAACTAGAGAGAAACCCACGTGCTGCAATGAAAGATCCCGCATGCCTCAACGAAGATCCTGCATGCTGCAACTAAGACCCAATGCAGCCAAAAATAAATAAAAATAAATAAATAATAAATGTAAAAATCTTTAAAAAAAAAAAAGAAAAAAGAAAACAAACTTATGGTTACCAAAGGGGAAAGGGGGTGGGGAGAGATAAATTAGGAGTTTGGGATTAGCAGATACAAACTAGTGTATATAAAATAAACAACAAGGTCCTACTGTACAGCACAGGGAACTACATTCAGTATCCTGTAATAAACCATAATGGAAAAGAATATATGTATATGTAACTGAATCACTTTGCTGCACACCAGAAACTAATACAACATTGTTAATCAACTATACTTTAATTAAAAAATTTTTTAGGGACTTCCCTGGTGGTCCAGTGGCTAAGACTCTGCAACCCCAATGAAGGGGGCCCGGGTTCGATCCCTGGTCAGGGAACTAGATCCCGCATGCCGCAACGAAGAGCCACACATGGCAACAAAGATCCCGCGTGGTGCAACTAAGACCCAGTGCGGCCAAATAAATAAATATTTAAAAAAATTTTTTTTAATAAATAAATAAATAGAAAGTCCTAATTCAATTATAATTTTGGACAGAAGGGGAATTGCTCTTACCCTTCTGAATCTTCAAAACATTTTTGTAGAGTTCCATCACTTTCCAATCTGTCTGCAAAATGTTTCAATTCTTCAGAAAGAGAAGATGCTAGAGAGAATAGAATAAAATTTTATGTTATAAAATAAAGAGAATACAAATTTTCACAGTGAGCTGCTGACAAAGATATAACGTACTTAATGTGGTCCCAGCTCTACGGTCCCCTGTTACATTCTCACCCATTTAAAAAAGCAGTATAAATATGCAGGAAGATTTTATCTTTTTTCTTTGGATAGGTATAGATAAAATGAAAGACAACTCCTCTTTATAACATTTTTAATAGTGTTTTTTACACTTGACTGGTGAAAAAGCAGTTAAAAAGATGTATCTGGGGCTTCCCTGGTAGCACAGTGGTTGAGAGTCCGCCTGCCAATGCAGGGGACATGGGTTTGTGCCCCGGTCCGGGAAGATCCCACATGCCGCGGAGCAGCTGGGCCCGTGAGCCGTGGCCGCTGGGCCTGCGCGTCTGGAGCCTGTGCTCTGCAAGGGGAGAGGCCACAGCAGTGGGAGGCCCGTGTACCGCAAAAAAAAACAAAAACAAAAAAGATGTATCTGCACAGACATTTCATTCTTTTCAGGAGATTTGATCTGCTGGCACTGGGTGGAAGAACATTACAGAAGTCAGGCAATGGGCAAGAGTGTAATGAGAAATGTTGGAGGCAAATAAAGAATTATGGGCATAAGGTAAAAACAGGTCTCTGCTTAAATTTGGAAGAGTTCACAATTAAATTCAGGTGAGGAATGCAGCGGGGAAAAAGATATGTTAAACAGCTATCAAAATAACCTGGGCACATCTACTCTAATTATGGTGATAGTGCAGTTCTGAGATAAACAGCTTTAACTGGCAAGTAAGTCTGAGTTCATGTATTTTCTAGGTCTTTTAAGGGGGTAACACTGAGTATTTCTGACCTGGATGATTGTGTAATGACACTGTAAGGAGAACAGCTACTTTCTGGAAAGCTGAAAACTGACTCCTGGGAAAGAATATTTGTAACTTACATCACAGACAAACAGCTAATTTCCTTAATATATAAAGAGTTCCTACAAAATCAATATAAAGAGCCAATATCCCAATTTTTAAAAGTGAACAAAGGATATGGACAGACAATACACAGAAAATAAAGCACAAATGGCTCTCCTCTAAAAATATGAAAAAATTATTATCCTCTTCAAAAGAAAAAGAAACACAGATTAAAAGTACAAAAAAATACCTTTTATCACCAATTAAATAGTAAAAAATCTAAACTTTTAGTTACAGTATAATTACACTAGTTAATTTCCAACCTAGAAATTTATCTTACTTTTACTTGAATATGTGCCAAAAGGCTTGTATAAAAAGGTATTCATTATCCATTCATTGCAACAGTAGAAGACTGAAAACAACTCTAAAAGTCCATCAGTAAAAAACTGGTTAAATCAAATATGGTACATTTATAAAATGGAGTATCATGGAGCTACTAAAATGTCAAGACGGCTCTATAAGTGTGATATAGAACTATCTGCAAGATAAATTAAGTTAAAAAAAAAAAACCACAAGGTAAAAAACAGTGTAGAGTGGTTTACTCATTTGATTTCAATGGATAAATGTTTAGAAATGCAATAAATCTTTCTGCAAGGATACACAAGAAGCTGGTGACTGCGGTTGCCTCTGGGAGGAAAGAACTGTGATTGGGGTCACGGTGGAAAGAGAGGCTCACTTTCTTCACTTTTGGCCCTTCTGAACTTCATAAACATATACTCTTATTTTTTTAATGCAACTCCCCCAAAAAAGGAGGGGAGCTGGTTTTGTGAGGCAGCAGTTCCTGTAAATGGGGATCCTGAGAATGGGGCTTCAATTGACCTTCATAGAAGGTACAGACCAAGGTCAAAGCTCACTTGTCTAGTCTTAGTAACTTACCTTTGGCTCTAAAATTTTCAAGACTGAAGCCCTCAGTGCCCCTTAGGAAAGGTTCAAGTTTCTGAACAGAGAACTAAATAAAGAAAAGCATTTTCAGTACAACAACCAAGATTTCCCAGGCCAGTCCCGAGTTCATGTAATTTTATGATGTTTAATAAATGTGAGTAAACATGATTTAATTCTACACCTAAGATTTTTCATATCAACAAAACAAAATGAGAAAATCAAAAGGTAAGGGAAAAACTCTTTGTTGCCTAGACTATATGATTTGATTTTTGATTCAGGAAAAAAAATGGTCATTTAATTCACACAAATGACTTGCTTATCTAAACTGATGTGATCACCAGTCAGCTATATAACACCAACTTAGAATGCAGTCAGACCTCAAATGACTGCTTAAACTTAGATTTGACCTCCACTCACTGTAAATTCCCATCATTTGCTGCCAGTGAGCAAAATATACTAGATCGGGGAAATCTGACTGTTAAGTGCTCAGCGACAGCAGCACCGACGGGACTGGTAGAGCCTAGTCCAGAGACAGATCAGCTCCTGGGATTAAAGCTGGCTTTTAAATTAATCCCACTAGAGAGAAATATCTTTTACCCTTTACCGATAAATCACACAGTACTGATCTCTCTTTGGGGATGTCACAGTTTACAGTTTAAAAAAAAAAAAAGAAAAGAAAAAGCATTTCCCAATCATGAGACTCTCACCTGGAAACTGGAAAGCAGGAGACAGCCCAGCCGTTTGCTTTCTGCTATGTTGACACTGATGGATCTGCAGAGCTCTAACATAAAATATCACCACATTGAAGGAGATGGATACTTAGTTAGCAAAGTAAAAAAAACTGAAAAATTCCCTCCCCCTTGATGCAGTCCAACTTAAGAAAACCCAAGCAGCCTTCTCTAATTAAAGGGAGAATTCATATATAGTCACATCTAATTTGTTCAAGATCACCAAAGAATGACATTTACCCATCTGTGCATCCTAACTTTGAAAAGTTATAAGAACCTTTTATGTACTACATTAAAATCTTGTCTTGATAAACAACATAGATTAAAAAAAAATTTAACTCCTTTTATGTTTTATATTCACCATTTGAAGAAAGGAGGTGGGATTATTTCAGTATTTCTATGACAGGCACTGCAGTGTGCTTTAAATACTGTCTTGGGACTTCCCTGGCAGTCCAGTGGTTAAAGACTCTGTGCTCCCAGTGAAGAGGGCACGGGTTTGATCCCTGGTCGGGGAAGTAAGATCCCACGTGCTGTGTGGAGCAGCCATGAATGAATGAATGAATGAATGAATACATACATACATACATACACTGTCTTAAGAATCTTCTTATAAACTATGAGCTCCATTTTATGGATGGGGAAATTGAAGCTCAGAGGGGATATAACTTGTTTGAAGACAGAGACTGGTGGAGCCAGAATTCAACCCCAAGTCCATCACCAAAACCTGTTTTCCCACTAATACCATGCTGCCTCTCTATAATGACCTAATGATACATTAATAGTAATTTGTTGAACACTTGCTATCTAAAAGGCATTTTATTAAACGCTATACACACCTCATTAAAACTTGAGGCAAGTATCTTATCTGGGTGAATCTTTTTTTATTTTTTCCCCAGACTGCCCGGCATGTGGGATCTTCCAAGACCAGCGATCAAACCACTGCTCCCTGCAGTGGAAGCACAGAGTCTTAACCACTGGACTGCCAGGGAAGTCCCAAGTACCTTATCAACTCCATTTGACAAAGGTTAGGTAATAGGTAACTTGCCCAAGGTCACACAGTGAGTCAGCCAGAACTGAACAGGCATTTTACATAATTATGCCACTGTATCCTCAAACAACTAGAAGACATAGATACTGTTTTTTCGATTATGTTCATTTAAAAACATCAACTATTATACAGCAAAGGAAATTTGCTTTGAGAATTGGGAGAGATACATGTCTTTTTGCCCTCCAGCTTCAGCTGGCTGTGTTTTTAAAGTTCTTTTGTGCCTTCTCTTGATTACTTCTCCTTGCTTTTAGTCATGAAAAACTGGATACCTTCTGCCTATAACCAAAGAAACTTGGCAAGTGGCTGGTAGTGACCAGGAGATAACAAATCTTATTATGCATCAGTAATTTTCTATTACACAGAACTTTAGGCCCACATGCTCTGGAACAGAGATGGTTAGGGCAATCTTAGAAAACTGAAGTTTCTTGGCACGTTCACGGAGTAAAGTGCATGAGCCTAATTGTGGTGGCAATTTTCTGATATGCTACATGGCTGTTTTTACCCAGAATTCCTTCTAAACATGAGACATCTGGAAGTGAGGTGATGTCTTTAAAATAATCACCACAGCTTAACACTTGAACTATTTCTTTACCATGTGCCAAGTACTGTGCTATATATCAACTCATTTAATTCTCACACAACCCCGTAAAATAGGTATTATTTCATCCCGTTTACTGATGAGGACCGTAAGGCAAAGGAGGTTAAGGGACCTGCTCAAGGTCACACAGCTAGTAAGGTCTTCCTGAAATGTGTTACTTTCCATATTAAACCTTGTACTTCAATGCTTACTGAGATGCTATTATTATAAATTCATACAAAATCACATTCAAATACAGCATGTCTAAAAAACTAGGTTTTTACCCTAGATATTTTTATGTGTCCTTCCCTCTGAGATATTTTCAGTTATAAAGCCTAAAATCAGGTAGCGACCCATCCACCTTCTGTTCTGCTTAAGGATATGAGGCCGAAAGCCACAGGAAGAAATCTTTACTTCTAGCAAAGGCGAATGTTGAACATTCACTTAGCAGAGGTGAGTGCTGAACAACCATAAATCAGATTTTCTGTTCATGGTATAGATTACAGTGGGTAGCTAATAACATGATATAAACAGCAATGATACTGAACACTTACTAGGTGTTTGACATCAGTACTTATAATCTTAGGATACTCCTACAGATGAGGAAACTGAAGCTCAGAGAGATTTGCTCAGTCACATAGCTAGTAAGCAGCAAAGTCAAGTCTATCTGTCTCCCATACCTCACTGCCTCTTATCTGAGCTGGAACTCCATTGTCTTATGTACATGGCACCCCACCTGTGATGCCCTGATGAAAGGGAGGCAGTGACTTCCGCCGGTTCGTTTCTTTCATACTTGCTCGCCGCCAGGATTGCCTCCTGTCTTGATGACGGGCACACTGTTCTTTGGGGGACAAATAAAGGGACCTGGATTGAAGTCCTTCCTGGTGGCTGAGATCACAACTTTCCCCTTTTTTAGGGCTAGAGCCAAGGTGAATCTGTTCCTTTGAAACGCCTTTAGTCATCTCCAGGGAGGTGGACGAATTACCACACGCTTCCGCAGGGTTGGGATCTGATTCCAATTGATGATCATGAGTCTTAGATGCCACTGGTTCCTCTTCTAGCACTTGTTATAAAAAAGTCAAAATACAGAATCAAACCCATCACAACTAAGTATCTGTGCAAAAAAGTGGAAAAAGGAAATGTATGCCCGAGATCATGGAAACACTGAGGAAGCATCTCTGCAAATACGTGAGTAAGTGCTTTCAAGTCCACCAGGAGCCAGGAAAGTATTTAGGTAAAGCTCAGGAACCTGAACCCAAGAGGTGCTGAATGTCACTACAGTACTCACCTTCTACAATCTCTGATCTAGAAGTCATCCTGGGTGGAGAACCCTGAAAACAGGAAAAGGAGGTGATCTGTTTTCCACATTTCAGTCCCAGTCTTGCTGGGGATTTACTACCCCAGAATCGGCCTTGTGCTTTCTAATCTCTTTGAACTGCCCCTCTTTGCCCCATGAAATTCTACCTGCCTGAGAAGGCCCAGTCCAACCCCGCCTCACCCACCTCCTCCAGAGAACATCTGCACAGCTCATCACCCCCTGTTCTCAATTTCTACAGAATTCATCACTAGAAATACTCACCTTAACATGTAGCCCATCTTATTTCCCAATTATTTTGTGTTTAACAAGTGCCTAATTCAGTTGATGGCATTATGATCTACATGGTCTTCAAAACATGAAAAAAATCACATTATCCTTGATTAATTCTAAGATCCAAAGGCCTGTTCATTCTACTTCCAACAGTCTCTACAACTCTTCCCCGCTTCCGGTTATCGATTTAGTTCAGATCTCATAATTTCTACCACTCTCCCCCACCTCCCCCAAGAATCTAACAGTCTCTCCACTAGTTTTTCCTGCATGCAGCATTGCTCCTCTCCAATCCATTCTTATTTATTTTATTTATTTTACTTTTGGCCGCACCGTTTGTGGGATCTTAGTTACCCTGCCAGGGACTGAAGCCTGGCCCTCACAGTGACAGCACGGAGTCCTAACCATCGGACCGCTGGGGAATTCCCTCCAATCCATTCTTTAGACAGCAGCAGAGATTCCTCCAGTGTACTCAACACCTTCCAGAAGCTAGTCCTAACTACCCATTCCGGCTTTCTCCTGCCACTCCCGTTC